AATTTCTTTAAAATCAAAGTGGGGTGTTACATTCCCGTTTTCTGATAGGGTCAAAATTGCTCGGGACACATCTTCCGTTATAGGCGACCCTTTCTGGAATACCTGCTTCGACAATATTATGCAAACATATTTTTTTATTCTTTTTCAGTCAAAGAAAGGAAGGTATTTTTTTTTTTTTTTTCACTATAGTCAAAAATAGGGACAACTTACGAAACCCAGTCCTCCGAATCTGTCTCCAGCGACACTAGACGTGTTGCCAGCAACAGTGTATCCCGTGCAGTAGTGATTAAGGAAAGCCTTCTGATAAGGAAGCTCGAGAAAAGCTGCGGATATGTTGCCCGTCTCGAATTCCTTTGGATATTTGTATTCACTGTCGACCGTCCTGATGTTGTCCGGATGGAAACCGAGCACGTTTTCCAAATATTCGCGGACAAACGAATCCCCATCACACCCGATTTTTGCATTTTGGTCCTTCAACAGCTGGATTTCCGAGACGCTCGGTGTGATGCGGGGCACGGTGAGCAGTGACGACAGGCTGGCGGTGTAGCTCGAGGTCAGGACGAGCACTACAAAGAGCCACACGAGCACAACTATACGAGTGTAGTTGTTGTATACCTTCTCCCCTGTAAAATTCGAAGCTCGAATTATCTCATGAAAACATTAATGCATTATGGTTGTGTTTGGTAAACATATAAGTTAGCTTATAGTTTATTTGATTAACTTATTAGCTTCTGTATTTAAATAAGCTTGGTTTGGTAGGACAAACTTTTTTAAAAAACTCGAGTTTATCTAATAAACTTCCTCGAGTAGCTTTTCAAATAAGCCCATTGAAATTTCTATTCCAGCTAATTTTACCAAACACTTTTATATTATAAGCTAGCTTTGTAGCCATAAGTCATAGTTTATCAGCTATAAGTTCGAAATTCACTTAAAAGCTAGGAGCTAGTTTATCAGCTATTAAGTTAACTTATCAAATGGGTTTACCAAACATAGGCTATGTCGAGCAAGATTCAACTTACTGTGAGCAAAGAATAGTGAACAACACGTGAACCAGAGAGCGGTGTTCAGCTGATTCCACCACGGCCCTTCGAATTCAGGATTCATTTCACGTTCCAAAAGCCAAACGATTAAAACCGTATACAGCAAAACGGCACCAGTAACAGCCCACATTCCACCACTGAAAGGCTTAACAAATATCCAAGCAGTGTTCGGAGCTCGTGAATTTACAGTCACCAACATTGTCAGCCCTGACTCGGTGAACGGTTGAGTGAACTCCACGAAACTCGACCGGTTCGCAAGTATCGTAACATCTCCAACAACAGCATCGAAAGTCTATCAAATAACACGAAAACGTACAATCGTGAAAGCAGGAAAAACATACCATATTTTGCACATTGAACATGAATAGACCTTACCTTGTTAGCAACACAATTAACGAGCTCGTCATAAGTGCCTAGGAATGGTACAAATTCGTAAGGAAGCGGGTAATCTTTCTCTACAATCTTCAACACCTCGAAGAAAATATCGATACAAATCCCGGTATAGCTATAACTATGTTGTATGCTCGGGTTCCCACTTACCTTTACGAATTTCTCGAAAGAAGTTCTACCGGGTACTCCGATTCTCAGTGGCTTAGCTTCATTAGGCATGGACCAACCCTTTGGGACCCTCCTCAAGTCCCCCGGCCAGTTTATCAAATCAAATGCATACCACTTTACTGGTCTTTCCTCAGTATTCGACGATAAAATCCCCACCTCTTTATATTTTTTACCGACCACATTCACAATTTTGACGGCAAACGGCTGTACTAGTAACTCTCCACCACCGAAGCTAATACGCCCGCTCAAACCCGTGAAATCAGTCGATATCAAAGCTTCCAAATTCGACCCGCCACTGTTGAATTTCTTAGCAGCCATTATGATGGCATTCATGCTATCATATGCCCGCAGAGCGTATATGCTCGGCTCGGAATTATCTTCCTCCGGATAATCCGACCGGAAAATTCGCCGGAAGTTTTGATTAAACTCTTGAAATAGTCTCCCGTTTTCGGAAAAAAGGGTCGTCACACCTATAGCGCCTTCCATTGAGGAAATAACCGACGAGTTAACAGAATCCAGTAGACCGGCTAAAGGGTCCGATATTATCCATGCAGAATCTTTCTGAACAAGACCCAACTCATTTGCTTCCTTAAATAAAACAACACTCATTTCAAGTGATGTCTTGAGGACTACAAAAACGCGGGCCTGTTTGGTCAACAGTTTTTTAGCTTCTTGGCGAATGAAAGTGTTCGGGTTGGATAGAGAGGAAAACGGCGGGAGAACCAAACGGTGCTCGATTTCAACACCAACGGCTGACAGCTCATCTGATAACAGAGTAAAAGCACCCGAATCATCGACTTCATAAATTGCTACGACTTTTCGCCAGTGAAAAGTAGCGATTATATCTGCAATGCATTTAATCTGCTGTTTTGTATCTGGGAACATATGAACTAGGAAGGGCCATTGTTGTTTTACGATTGACTTTTCGATTGTGGGCCCGGCACACGAGATTATCGGTACTTCAGTTCGGTTTCCATAGGTAGCGACTAAAGCAGTTTCGTCCCATGTGATATAGCATTGAAGAGCACTCGAGTGGACTGGTACTTCTCGGTTCGGTTTATGGAGATTGGACCGAGCAGATGGACTATGACGGTAATGTGTAACGTGGACCGAACA